CGCCCTACATTCAGAAATCTTTAAAAGCAACCCGCCCCTCCCCAGGAGCTCTTTGTAGTATACATGTAACACCAGGGAGCACCCCTCAAATTTTCCCCCAGAATAACACAGTTCAATCCACATCCCAAGTGAACTGCGAAACGGAATAATAATATCATAAACCCAACGACTGAAAATATAAACCTGAGGGTAACAAGGCAAATGTCACTATTTACGTGAGCTGCAACGTTTAGGAGAATGAGGAAAATGATGACTGTCCAGTGTGCACCGGCTGTCAAGTAATTCTTGTAGGCCTTAAAACCAACTTTTCCTTCCAATCGGGTCTCTTCCGGTAGTGTTGCCTGTACATCGTCAGTCTGTAAAGGGAAAAAGAAGGCAGTTAAAAGACAAAAGAACATACAAAACCACTTCAAAAGCTGAACACTGTATTCTGTTTAAAAAGCTGTGGCAAAAACAGGCCCATCTCATACACTGCTGGCCAGAGTCCAGAACGGTACATGTGGAGAAGGGCATGAGGTATCCAGGCAAACCCTGCCTGCATTTACCCTCTGACCAGCCATCCTGCTTCTGAGAGTCTATTATGTGGTGACGCTGGCTTTGCTTGACATCTGACATTTTTAGCACTTTCCTAGCATACCCAAGTTCAAGTGTAAACGCAGAAGTTTGTTCCAAAATCAGATACAAAGTGATGTGGAAATCGTGTCATTCGAGATTGCACTCTAGAAACATTAAACAGAGGGGGAGTCAAAGGTCACCCAAATACAGTGACTAAGGTCACTCAGCCAGCTGCAGTAATGAGAGGAAGGGATGGCATATGATCCAAATCTATTTGGTTCCTGAGTTTTAGAAATTGATTCTTGAGGTTAATCAGACTACTGAAAGAATGAATCAGGCTCCTGGACTTAGACAGTGAGGGTTTGTATGACAGGGTATCTCTATCTATATTTTCAAGGGACTGTCAGTGGCATTTCTGCCTTGAGGACCTATAATGCATTACACAGACCCAAGATCTGAGAAAATACTTGGCTCTATGCTGGCCAGTGGGCAGTTTAAGATGATTAAGATATAGATGATGGTCAGAACATTCTAATGCCTAGGAAAAGTGGCTGACTGAATGTGATCCACAGTAGACTCTGCCTAAGAGTGTTTTCAAATTAAGCCTCTGAATGCAAAAGAGAAGCCTAGGGCCACAAGAGCAAGTAGGATTTATCCACAGCCAATTTAAGGGCTGTAAAATCAGCATGAGCCACACACACCGTTGGGACTCCCAGCAGCACAGGTATCTACCACTGACCTTGAGGACACAGGCCAGCACATACGTATGAAGTATGACAACCAGGCTTATTCCTCTTGTTCTATAACTACCAATCCTAGTGAAACAGGCCGTGAAGCCATTGAATCTACTTTGGAACAAACAATGACATCCTGAGAAGAATGCACCAAGGACCCTAGAGGCCATTAGAGGTGACGATGACAGCACATGTTGTAGCACCAGGTGAACTCACATCTTGGCCCTCCGGAGCACCATCCTTCAGTGAGGGTCTAGAAGACTGCTGAGACCAAATCGAAGACTCTGAGAAGGTCCGACTCCTCAGCGTGGGGGTCTCTGAAACTGAGGGCTGTTCAGTATCCTCATTTTCCTTCTTTAAAAGGGAACCAAAATCTACCCCAGATTTCAGAAACTCGGTGTAAGTCCCCTTCTGCACCATTTCACCCTAAAATAAAAATTAAGAATGTCAGAGGAATACATTTGTGGGTATTAATGCCAACCTAATCTAATTCTAATCAAGAAAAGCTAATTGGTCTTAAATTATAATTATCTATAGATCTGGAAGCCTGGTGGACAAATCCAGTACAATTCAACAAAACACCTGACTGACCCTTGTGTTCTCTGCCAGCCCCTGTATTGGTACCCGGGGATATAAAAAGAAAAGAAACGTGTAATGTACATTACAAATGGAGTCATGTAAGCCAGCACCATGGGTGTTTACGAAAGCAAAAGAGCAGCTGTTGGTGGGCACACAGAGTAGTCTTTACAGAGAACACGGAAACTAAGCTAAGCCTCATGTGATAAGAATTAAGGAACAGAGTAAATTGGGGAAGATATTCCAGGAAAGAAACTTAGACAGTGATAGAAAGGTGAGCATGAGTGAGTTCACACCTACAGGAGTCAGTCAGCCACACCTCTGCTGGCCGAGCGTCCTGTGCCCTGCTGGGACCAGGCACATGGGCACCAGCTGTAGATCCATGGTCTTCACTCTAAAACTGACCCACAGACACTCATGCCTGTAATCCCAGCACTCTAGAAGGGTGAAGTGGGTTGAGCGCCTGAGCCCAGCCTGAGCAAGAGCAAGAACCCATCTCTAAAAATAGCCGGGCATTGTGGTGGGCGCCTATAGTCTCAGCTACTGGGAAGCACGCAAGGAAGTTCCTAAGTGAAAATTCAACATTCCAGAAGACACCTTTCTGCAGTTAAAATAATGTATAATGTATAAATATCTTTACTATTTTCTCACCCCATGAAATGAGACCCTGCTAATTTACTCAACCAGCAACAAGCATAATACAGTATTAGGTAAAATCCTAATAAAAAACCCTGGTGCCCATATGCCTGGTCCCAGCTGGGTAAAATCCCAGGATACAAAAGAAATCAAAGGGAGCATCTCCAGTTAAGGAAGGACAGATGGGGGAAGGTGGGCCAGTCCTCCCACCCACCCCCAGGTGGTGTACTGACAAGAATCCAATAATGCCTTGGAGCTCTTTGAAATAGTTTGATAGCTAGAGGATGAAAAAATGTTTCATGCCCAGGCACAGTGGATGGTTCCTGTAATTCCAGCACACTGGGAGGCCAAGGCAGGAAGTTCACTTGAGGTCAGGAATTCAAGACCAGCTGAGTAAGAGCAAGACCCCATCTTTACTAAAAACAGACAAGTTAGCTAGGCATGCTGACACGTGCCTATGGTCCCAGCTACTGGGGAGTCTGAGGCAGGAGGATCATTTGAACCCAGGAATCTGAGGTTGCTGTGAGTTAGGATGAAGCCATGGCACTCTACCCCAAGCAACAGAGGGAGACTCTGTTTCAAGAAAATAAAGTTTCTTGACACGTTGTGGCTTTTTCCCCCTAGGAGGTAAAATTCACACACTCTGCTTAGTGATACTACCATACTTCACTTAATATCATGGGACACACGAGGAAACTGCTACTGGTTGAGAAAGCAATCTTCCTCAGAAGCCAAGTACTGACAAGAAGTTCCAAGTGTGCTGAGGGGTGAGCCATCCCTCCACTGCTGTCAGTTAGGGGCCACACTGACAGTAAGGACAGACCCCAAATCATCCAGGGATTCCCAGAACAGAAAAATGGTTTTTGAAAGTACTACAATTGGGGGAACATGCCTGAAATGTGCAATATGAGAGCCCCAAAACATCTGGGGACTGGTGAAAACATTTCTGTACCACCTGCTATGTGGTAGCCAATATTTGGGTCTTACCAAATGAGTTTTCAGCCTTCTGCACACAAAATTGTTTTCAAGTTTGAGGGATCTGAGCCTCCTATCCTGGGAAAGTGGGGAAGAACTGACATATGAAAGTGCTTTTGAAGGGGCCACATTCCTTCTTAATCCTCCTGGGGATAGGAATTCACTGAACAGAGCTTCAGGGGGCAGGTCCTCACAGTTCCTCAGCAGCCAGGTGGGGCAGTGAGGGGGGTCATGAAAAAAAAAGGGCAAGAATTTTGCTATCAGTGTGTAGTCTGTTTGTGGCAGTATTGTGAAATTTATCTCTGAGAAGGCACACACAGATCTTGTGAACTTTAGTTAATATCCATTATTTGTTATTCTCATCATTTTACCAAGAAATTACAGGAGGGGAAACATTTGAGGGGCAGAGAGGGTTTCAGAACCACAAGAAGGGATGGGAACTGAGACCTGTTGGCACTGACAAGGGTTAACTGGGGGGGGGGGGTCGTAACGTCTTTGCTCAGTCGTAAAGACGAACAAGCCTCAGAGTGACCATCAAATTGCCAAGGTCTGAACAACCCACTAACCTTCACCGGCCCAACCATGTGGGCTGCTGTGGGTTACATGGCAGACCCCAAAAGATACGTTCAAGTCCTAAACCCCGGCACTTGGGAATGTGCCCTTTTTTGGAAACAGATCTTTGCAGGTCTAATCAAGTTAAGATGAGGCTATGCTGGTGGGCCCTGAATCCAGTGGGACAGAAGTCCTTACAAGAAGAAACCCACACAGACACAAGAACGAGGCCATGTGACAACCAGGCACAGATGGAAGTACCACCGCTGACATCCCTGAGCACTAAGGACAAACAGCAGGACACCAGCAGCCAGGAGATGCGAGGAAGGACCTTCCTCCCGGGGACTTTGGAGCAGGATCAGCCCTGCTGACAGCTGGGTATCAAACTTGTAGCCTCCAAACTGTGAAACAATGCATTTCTGTAGTTTTAAGCCACAAGGTTTGTGGTTCTTTGTTCTGGCAGCCCCAGGAAACAGATACACAGGCCCAAGTCAAGGCTCCTATTTTGTGAACTACTAAGAATTCAGAATGCTTTTGCCATAGCTCCTGCAGCAAACATCAAGAAAGATCTTTTAAAACCACAAATGAGTTCCTGTCAGTCCTGCTCTGTCCTGTTCAATGGCTTCTGTCCCAATTCCAGGCTTACTGCCCACCGCTAAGAACCCATCTCCTGAGTCTAGGCTCTCCTTGGCACACTGAGCTCTATCTAGCCAGGCAGCCTCCCAGTGTTTCCTGCAAAAATACCTAGTAAATTCCTTCTTTAGGACCCCACCATCAGCCCAATTGCCTCAACCTCCTCTCCCAGGTGACTGCATGGCTGGCACCTTCATGCCCCCATCCCTCTATCCCCCTCACTTGCATCTATCCCGAGGAGGAATGAAAGCCCCAGACAGCAAGGACTTTGTCCTTTTGCTATGAAGGCTCTCACTCCAAACAAGTGCTCAAAAATACCTGTGCAGTACGACTAACCAATCACTGTACCAGGAAGGAGGGTGCTGGGACCCCCAGGGGGCTGCTCAGCTACCCAACAGTCTTTCTGTTAAGAACAGAAGATGCTGTTTAGGCAAATGATGTATGACAGCCACATGGATACAAGCCAGGTCTCAGCATCTGTAACATCCAAATAATATACTTTGGCATAGGTCACGGACCAGGGAAGCAAAAGGTTCTAACTAA